CTACTTTTATGAATAATTTCAAAAATAAATCCCTCATTTTCAAAGATCGATATTGCAACACGTACACACGTGTATAAACATCTTTGTCACTCCATGGAACTTTAAATAAATAGAAATTGAAATACGTAGGAATTTAGAAAGGAGAATCAACTTTGGAAAATTTAACAGAGAATAAAATCGCGTAATTTATGCGAATTTCGATGAGAATAGAAAATAACTGCGACATAGGACGAATTAGTTTAGATCAATTTCCTCTGTTACGCGTATAAACTCGATCGTTAGTTAATAGCATTGTTTCGTCATGACCTGTACTCTGCTAATAATTTCCTGTCTCATTGTCAGTACATCTATATAGATGAAGGGTTTAGATTCGTCCGTGTAATTCAATCTAATTCAACGCTGATTACCAGTGCCAGTCGAATTGGATTTCGGTTTTGTTGATCGGTCGTCCGATCGATTGGGCGTACAGACACGATTTCTGCGAGAGAAGGAGAGAGTGAGAGAAAGAGAGAGGACTGTTTCTTCATTAAAATGTACTCCTCGTCGCGCGCCTGCATAAATATTGCGGTACCGGCCGCATGAATAAAGCTATAGAAAGCTCTTCGAGGAATACTGACGACTAAGCTTTGCAACGTATGACTGATGGAACAAACATGGAGATAATGATTATATTATGAGGATAAAGAAGAATATCGTGCATCCTTTTAATGTTAAAAATGGATGTGGATGGAGAATCGAAGCATAGTATATTTTAGTATCGCAGACCGAATGCCCTTTTAAATAATAATTTTAAAACCAAAATTATAGAAAATCGGAAAATTTCATGTATCTTTTTGAGATTGTGCATCGTCATCGAATTTGAAAAAATCGAGTATTCCTTTCAGCATTGTAAATTACAGGAATGTGAAAAATTCAGATATTTTTGCTATGGTTAAAAGAATATTACCTATTGTATATGGTAAAATGTTATATCCTTGAAAAATTGTAAAGTATTACACATCCTTTCCTTTGTATCGTAGATTTGAAAATAGCAGCAGCAGTAATATTTGTTTAACTTTAGAAATGCAATTTCTTGCGAAGTATTTTTCATTGGACGGCTAAGGAAATTTCTGCTAGCTATGCAGAATTTTTGGGCATAAGCCAGACACTTTGATACGATACTTTGATCTTAATCGTTCGAGATTGCGTACTCCACATGACACCAGACTTCGTGGCACCATCGTATCGTATAACACACGATACATTTCTCGCTGTATACGAGGTCACAGCCAATGAATTTTATTCTTGTGTTAAGTACCGTGACATTTGTAACAATCTGCTCTAAATACCATAGTCGTACTCGTAGTGCCATTTAATTCAAACGGCTGTAAAAAGTATAGTTTAGTATTTGCATGTATCTTCTTTAAATAGTATAAAATATTGTCCTGCCGAGAAATTTAATTCCTCCATTTTTATCGAAGCGTTCAAAAAATTTAATTCGATATAAATTTGTTATTTCCTCCTATTTATTCCAATAGATAAAAATGGACGATCCCTCGCGTGTACTAATTATAAA